AAGAAACACAAAGCCAGGAGCAAAATCCAAAAATCTAGTTTGAAGAACTCAATTCTATTGTGAACGTTCCATTCGCACGAGAAGGTCAGCAGTGCTGCCATTTTTAAGAGAACTGGTTTTGATGGTCAGTCTACTTTTACGCACAAAACAACAAAGCGCAGAGCTACTAGACAATGACAGATTCGGTTCTGTCTATACTGTGACTGCACAAGAGGCTGTGGTCATGGAAATTCTGATTATTAAAAGAAGCACAAGCAGGTACAGGATGCACTGGATGTCACCATCCAAATATCTTCCCCAAAAAGAATCTCCCTGGGTTCACTCTTCCCTCTTCCCAAAACCCGCACACCAGAATACAAAAAGGATCATATCGTAATATAACTAGATACACAACTGGATGAAACGAGAAAAAAAAGTCATATGGTGATAAGCAAGCAACATCAGTAAGGAGGATAATAATACCCAGTTGGCGGTCCAATCCCATTGACTGGTGGCATGCCATAAGGCATCGCAGGAGGACCTGGTGCATAGTAACCGGTCCCACTAATCTTGGCCAAAGTGGCTTGACCTCGCATCCCCTCGGTAGCATACTGCTGCCATAGTTGTTGCTCCTGCACAACCAAATGCTGTTTCTTCTCCATTTCCGCCATCTGTACATATGAAGGAGGAGGGATGCTCAATGATGCAGCAAAAGGGTCCTGGTTAACTGCTTGAACAGTTCCATCGGGTGCAGGGAGAGCCAATACTGGGGTTGCGCTCTTTCCAAGGCCGGGTAGAGCAACACTGCTCGCACTACCTCCAGTCAATTGAGCAGTGCTAACATGTTGCCTCACCATTCCTTGGTCATACATGCCATTCAGTAGCAATGGATCAAGACCACCACCTAAAGCTGCTTTCTGCTTCGATAAGTTACTAGCAGTCTCCACCAAAGCCAATTCCCAATCTTCCTTGCCAGCTTCGGCAGCTGGGGTTTGCCAAGCAGAAGTCACTTCTGGTTCACCATTAGAAGGGAATGCTTCCCACGAACCATTCCCTGTATTAGCTGGTGGCCCCGCAAATAGAGCCAATGCAAATTTATTACCTTGATCATCAGCAGTAACTCCGTTATCCCTCAGATCCACCAAATCCGCTGTCACTTGTGGCTTTGGTGGCTCCGGTTTTGGCTCCAGTGATGGTACAGGAGTATAATTCTCTGGTGGAGGCAACGCCTTTATCTCATTCATATCTGGCACAGGAGGCTCCTCCTCCTGAGCCACAGGGGGCAATTCTTCTCTCCTCTCTGGGCTCTTAGGTCTCTTTGCTCTATCCCTCACAAATTCCTCCAATGTCTCCAACAACTTACTGGTAATCCTTTGCACTTCAGGATACTCAGATGATCTTGCCACTCCTGTCTCCTTACACCAATTGTGGAATGCAATCAACTCATCAATTTGCTTAGCCGCACTAGCATAAGCATCGAAAGCCTTGACGCAATCATGGTACTCCATATCAAAAAACTTATCAAGCATAACAGCCAAAACCTCACAGATATCAGCATATGCCTGAAAACTCTCCTTCACAACAGGGTACAATGCAACTAAGATCAACCTGCTATTCTTTGCCAGACCAGTGGGCCTACACGCCAAGAACCGGTCCAATAGCCTCTGCAAGTGACCCATTTTGCCAAAGATCCTTTCTGGCTTCATTTCCCTCAGTGGAGTCACTACCCTTCTCTCTTCTTTCCCTTCTTTCACAGCCATGCCATCGGCCATATCCCCATATGACCTTGACCTTCTCATCCCCCCGTAATTACCATATTCTCCTCTATAATCACCATACTCATAATCATTCCCCCTGGGTGGTGGGGACCGAAAATCATCTCTACTCCCATACCTATCCTCACTGTGAACACTACCACCACCATTAGCACTTCCACTAGGACCGCCATTACCACCGCCACCGCCGCTCTTTCTATCAAACAGAATCAACTCGAGTTTCTGATCCAAATACCCAGCATAAGTCCTCACAAAAGCCGAGTGGTCCCATGAACTAGAGTGAGCCTCATCTCTAAAATCAGACAAATTCAGCAACCTAGCACCACGCCTCGTCGCATACATTATCTCCTCATGAAAAATCGGGTCTCCATCATTCAACAAACGGTGAATGACCACTATGGATTTGAGAGCCACAATATAGTCACGTGTCTTGCTCAGTCGCTTCGAAAGCGCAGAAACACATGCATGAACATATCCGCGCGAGTACGAAGTCAAATTCAAGATCCGACGTATGTACTTCTCGTCCACAGGATCATCATCGTGGCTCGTGGCTTTCACGATGGCCACTTCGAGCTCTGGCGCCATGTTGCTCGCGACTTTCGCAAGGCCGATGCTCGTCTGGTCCTTGACAGCCCCCAGGGTTTTGCGCATCGTGCTTTGAGACATCTTCACCGTCACCCTCACCTGCCTAAACGGCACAAACAAGCTAAATTAGTCACACTTGACTCAAAAGCATCACTTCAGGACGATGTAACCAGCTTTCCGGTGATTTCACAAAATCAACAGCACTAATAAGCTTAATCATTTTAGCGCTCGAAGTCACCGTGCTTTCACTGCGAACAATCACGCGATCAATGAAGAGTATTCAGCTCGACCGATGGCTTGACTAACCTAAACCGCATAAATAGGTTCTAAGCAGTTCACAACTACAGCTCACCATGCTCTACTATGCTTGATGAAGCGATAAACGTAGCATCGAGCTCCGGGAAATTACCTTTAGAGAAAGTGTATCGAATCTGGAGAAACTAAGCTCCGGCGAGGCGGATTGTGAACGACAAATGGATCTGCCGATTACAATCGCCGATCAGCACTCTTCGTCTTCTCCGTCTCAGAACGGCGAGAGATGAGGCGGATCTCCGAAAAGCGCGATCAGATCCGGACAAAACGAGCTCCAGCGGAGCTGAAACAGCCGGCGATCCGCCGAACTCCCCTTCGAAGAAGAAAAAGGACCTCAAACGGAGGCCGCCGACAGCGTGGAGTGAACCGACGCGCTGTCCGCCGAGGGAGCGGGACGTGGCGGCGTCGCCGGCGGCTGTGTCTGGATCTGCCGACCTCAGCTTCTTCGTCTTCTCAAGTCGTCGAGCGCGGAGGAGAGGGAGAGAGAGGTGAGGTCGCTGGTGACGAGGACGACGGCGGAGGGAGCTGATCTGGCCGGAGATCTAGCGGGGGGTGCGCGGCGGAGCTTTGGGATTCGATCGTCTTCGCCCGAAGCAAGAGGCGTTCTTTTCGCGGGTGAGAAAGAGAGAGAGAGAGAGAGCAAAAGGGGTGGGAAGAAGATGTGTGTGGTTGGGTGTGCGAAGGTGTATTTTACTCGACGTGCAAACGCGTGAGGCTCGCGAAGGAAAGTGTGCCTCGACGTTGACCGACCGTCTCCCGTGCGTCCGATCGAGGCGCCGGTCGCGAACGGACGGCGATCTGGGGTTTCCCGAGGTGGGGCCCACGTCGGGTCCCCGGTGGGCGCGGGCGCAGGGCATCTCTGCCTTCGCCCGGAGCCGAAATGCCGGCGCGATAGATGCTCGAGAATTGGCCGGGGCTACCGTAATCTTATTTTATTTTCCGTGTTTTGCCCTAATGATATTAATTAATTTCACACGTTCGAATTTGCCAAAATAAAAATAAGAAAAAAAGATTTACAATTACTTTCCATTTAGAGAAGGGGTGGCGCTATTACTAAATTCACCCGGTTTTCACTAAAAAGACAAAATTATCCTTAATTATTTAATTGCAATTTAAAGTGGTGATATCAAATTACTTTCCTTATTTTTTTAAATTTTTCTATATCAATGCAAGATCTATTTACCATGATTAACGATTTTACATGCTTAGTTTATGTTTCTTGTAGATTTTATGCGAAGCATATAAAATGTTATTGGAATATCTAAGAATGCACTTTTTCTCTAATACACTGATAAATAAAACATGTGAAATGCTTACTTTTGGTTACTAAATCCTAATTAGAAAAAGAAAAAAAATGGAAAAAAGAAGAAGTGGGGCCATCACTTTAAATCGCAAATGAATGATTAGGCTAATTTATAAGTAAAATGGACATAAGGAATTATATATATATATATATATATATATATATATATATATATTTATCAAAAGGAAATGAGAGTCTGATATTACTATGCATGTGTTCTTCTTGATAGTTGTTTATTTAATTTTCAATTTGAAGAGTTAAAAAGGCAATATTGGTTTTCTTGGAGGAAACGGGGTACGCCTTTTTTTTTTTTTCTATTTTTCTAGATAAGATTTTCTTTTTCATTAAAAATGTTCTTACAAGAATGATTAATTATTTCATATTTCGATGAAAATACTATAATATAATGTAAGTGAACTGCATTTTCATAATGATCGAGACAAAGTTCAAGCTCTGCATTGGTTTATTATAAAAGGGATTATTTTCCATAATCCAATGGCATAAGCGTGAATACTCGATTATCTAGATATTCATGGAACGCCCTGCAAGTTGTATAAATTAGTTAAGTTCATATTTTTTTTTCTACATAGGTGACTTTATTTCAGAGTTGTTTCCACGTGATAGAGGGAATCGAAACGGGCAAATTACAATCCTGATATGAAAATCCTTCAAAATGCCTCAGTTAATTGCTCTAATCCGGCTTTATAAAAGAGGATATTTGGTTTATTTAGATACATTCCCTAAACCCAATTAAGGAATTTAGGAACTAACAAGACAATTTGCAAGTATCAACGAATTTTCGGCTAAATCTTTAATTCCTTACACTTACATAATTCATTGACATTAACCCAAAAAAATATGATATAGTCATCAATCCATTTTCCTTCCTATTCTCTCCAAATTCTTTCAACGGCAAAATTGTCTGTAGTATTCACGTTGAATCCGTCAACCATCATGTTCCAATTTTGACTTTGGAAAAACCAAATAAATAAATAAATAAATAAGTAATTTAAAAGAAGAAATTCTGTCTAATTTTAGTAATCTTAAAAGTCACACTCGCGGTTGTGGCCTTTACTTCTCCGTCGCCTCCTCGGAAGCATCGAAATGGGAAGCTGAACAAAGCTCTTCCCTCCTCCGTGTCGCCGCCACCGAATGGCTGCCGGCATCGGCGGCGGCGGCGAGAGCTCGGCCGCGGCCTCCTCCACCGCCACCGCCACCGCCAGGCCCAAGGCCAAGAAACGCCGCAACGACCACCTGGAGCCGCTCGTCTCCCTCCTCGCCGCCGCCACCTCCGCCGCGCGCTCCTTCCTCCTCCGCAACGACCTCAACCTCCTCCCCTCCCAGGCCCTAGCCCTCGAATCCCGCGTCCACTCCGCCTCCTCCTCCCTCGGCTCTCTCGCCTCCCTCCTCTCCCTCCCGCCGCCGCCGAGACCCCTCCCTCCGCCGCCACCGCCGCCGCAGGACTGCTGGTTCCGCCGCTTCCTCTCCGCCACCCACGCCGCCGACTTCGACCCCCGGTGGACCCACTTCTTCCGCATGTCCAAACCCTCCTTCTCGCTCCTCCTCCGCCTCGTCTCGCCTTCTCTGCAATCGGCATTGCCTTCGATCCCTCCCGACCACGCCCTTGCCGCCGCCCTCTACCGCTTGGCGCACGCCACCCCGTACAAGGTGGTCGGGCGGCTGTTCGGCTTGGATTCGGCCGACGCGTGCCGGTCGTTCTTCGCTGTCTGTAGGGCTATCAATGAGAACTTGGGGGATTTGCTTGAGCTGTACTCTAACAGAGAGAGGATCATAGTGGGATTCGGGTGGATTTTGCTGCCGAATTGTTGCGGGATTTTAGGGTTCGGGAGGTTTCGGGTCGACGGTGATTGGCTGGGGGGAAATGGGTGCTTGTTAGTTCAGGCATTGGTGGATTCTGAGGGGAGGTTCTTGGATGTCTCGGCCGGGTGGCCAAGTAGCTTGAGGCCCGATTCGATTTTGTGCCGGACGCCGCTGTTTTCGGCCGTGGAGGAATCGAGGGAACTTCTGAGCGGGCCAAACTTCGTACTAAGTAATGGGAGTTCGATCCCGCAGTACATTCTGGGTGATGCCTGTTTCCCTCTATTACCATGGCTGTTGACCCCTTATAATGAGGAGAACAGTTTCAGCTCGATCGAGATGGAGTTCAATTCCGTGCATAGTCGCGCCATGGGGTTGGTCCGCAGGGCGTTTGCGAGGGTCCGGGCACGGTGGGAGCTCCTCTCGAAGCCATTGAAGGAGGAGCATGTCGAGTTTTTCCCAATCGTCATATTCGCAGGATGCTTATTGCATAACTTTCTAATGCAGTGCAGCGAGCCAGTTTTTGATGAAAATGGAGTTGGAGAGTGGGAGGAGGATCAGGAGGTTCCGGCTTATGAAGGCGAGGTGAACAAGTTTGGGCAGGTGGTTCGAGATGCGCTTGCTCAGCATCTGAGTTGGGTAAGCCTTAGAGACTAGATAGTTCAATGTAGCGTGGAATTTTTGTTTTCGGAATATGTATATATGTCTCTGTTTTGTGAGTGCAGCAAGCATCTTCCCTTGTAAAGCAGGCCTTGATTGTAATGATGTCTTCTTGAACATGCTTTGCGTGGTTCTTTGCTGTGATTGCAACTTTTCTCCGTAGTCCATGTCACTATCCGATCGCCGTTTCAGTCAATTTTGTTGACAAGAATGACCATCGTGTAGGAACCAAGATGTCCTACTCAGCGGGGTTCAGATGTCTCTGTTTTCTGAATTTCAATAGACTCAATTTAGTGGAATTGAAAGGATCCTAATTGATCATCTCTCACTGTCCAAGTTGCTGACTTTTATCATGGGATGAAGTATCATTTTGGTTGTTTTAGGACCTGTTTTTGTTATTAAGCTTCTTTGAAATCAGATGATCGAGTGGAAGTGTCTGTTTTCCAAGTGTCCTTCTGCATTTCCCAAATGCGGTCTCAATGTGCATTGCAGCTGACATGTGAGTTGTGGCCAAATAGCTTCGTCAGTTGTGTTTGCAGATGACTGATTTACTCATTGTACGCTAAACCTATCGCACATCCAGCTCACAGGTTCTATACCTTCATCATTCTCAGCACAAACAGACGGAGAGTATTTGATCTCTCCTACAATAATTTGAACGGCTCAATTGCAGACAATCTTGCCGAGCTGAACTTCTTGGTAGTTTTTAATGTATCCCGCAACAACTTGTCCGGTGCAATACCGGATAAGAATCAATTCTAGTCATTTGATTGCAGCAGTTATTATTGAAATCCTTGTTTATTTAGACTAGCCACCAGGAATGTGACTGTTAAGCCTCTTTTATTTGGGGTAGCCACCACGAATAACACTAGTTGGCGAAGTTAAGGTGGATTTATGGACATGCCACCTTCTACTTCAGCTTTGGAGCATCGTATATAACAGCTATCTTGTCGTCAGGTTGAGTTTGATTTCACCACGGTAGGTTCTTGGATATCTTGGCCAGGTGGCCGAGCAGTTTAAGGCCATTCGATTTGCCCAAAGGCCTCTGTTTTCAGCCGTTGAGGAACTGAGAGAGCCTTTGAGCGGGCGAATTTCGTACTTGGCTATGGAAATTCAATCCCACAGAACACTTTACATGATGCAATTTCCCTCTATTCCGATAGCTGTCTCCTTATGATGAGGAGAACAGTTTCAGTTCGATCGAAAAGTAGTTCAATCCACATATAGTTGCGCGCTGCTATGGTCACGCTGGACCTTAGCAATAGCAACTTCGATGGAGTAATCCCTGGTTGGGTCGGAAACCATCCTAGCTTGAGCATTCTTCTTCCCAGAGCTAACCAGTTCAGTGGCACATTTCCAGACCAATTGTGCAGCTTGAGACAATTGAGTATGATCTATCTTTCTGTGAACAACCTTTCTGGTCATTTGCCTATTGCTTTGATCCAATGAACTTCACTAAAGAAGTCTTCGATAAGATAGTTATGACGCCTTGGTCGATTGAAGCAACAGATATTGAATGGTCATCCTCCTCATATTTCACGACAAGCACAAGCATTGAATTTGACTATTATGATGTTCGTGTGAAGAACCAATGGCTCATAGGAATCTCACCCCAGAAGGTCGAGTTCACAACAAAGAGAAGGTCTAGTACTTATGAACGTGGTGTTCTTGTTCTCATGGAGGGATTGGAACTTTCTTGCAACAGGTTCACAGGTCGAATCCCCGAAGAGATAGGAGGTTCACAAGACATTCGTGCACTAAATCTATCACACAATGAGCTTACAGGACATATACCCTGGTCATTCTCTGCACTAACAAACATGGAGAGTATTGATCTTTCCTACAATAACTTGGCCGGCTCATTAGCTGATGATCTCACCGGGTTGAACTTCTTGGTAGTCTTTATTGTATTTTTCAACAACTTGTCGTGTGATATACCACATAAGAATCAATTTTAGTGATTCGATAACAGCAATTACTATGGAAATCCTCTTTTAATGGACAAGCCACCGGTGATAACAACAGTCAGGGAAATGAAGGTGGACAAGCCACTTGGAATAACAACAGTCGGGGAAATGAAGGCGGAATCATATACATGACGACATTCTACTTGAGCTTCGGAGCGTGTTGTGAAACAGTTCCACTGGTAATTCCAGTTGTTCTGTTCAAAAATCCTCGTTGGGGAAGGGCATGATTTCATCATATTGACGTAACCATCACCACATGCGGCAATTGCTTCATCATATGCTACTTTATCCTCCGAGACAAGTATGGCAATCTCATTCATCGCTGAAATACTCGAGCCTTCATCTGGATTGCCAGTTTACTCTGTATTCTGTAATTTTCTTGTCTATTTGAATTTCTTCCTTCGAGTTGAATCATCATGCGTCATTTCTTTCACTGTGTCTATATACATTTGACTAGATCAAATTAAATTCGTCTAGCCCCAAAAGCGACATTCCAGAATTCTCAAAAGTTTGCCTAGTAGTACTGAACTTAAAAGATTTTAAGTACGTGAAAATTTTCATTCAGAAACTACGATTTTGTTGGCGAATTGACTATAATATAGGATTAATGTGGTAGTCCTACTCTTCCCTCATCTTTTCGATTATGAGTTATTCCTTTTCGATCTAAATAATGTTCTGGCTGGTTCTCCATATGATTCAGCTTGCATTTTTCACGTCTTCTGCATGATTCCAAATCTTGCTAGGGGACAGTTATAGCAGAAAAGACTGTACAACTTCTAGTTCACATGGACATGCTAAATATATGTATACCGCGATGATAAAGCTTTCTTCATAAAATATGGACGGACAGACCAGATTCCATGTTTTCTCATCATATGGTAGAGCTAAGAAAAGAATGACTGTACCTGGAATAGCAACTTCCGAAAAAGAACCTGGTAAGCAAGTTCTTGTCCTAGGAATGAAAAAAAGAAAAATCAGGCATATCAACCTGACCTCAGTGAGTTGAACTTTGAGGCAGCCTGAACGATCCACCAGCATAAAGAGCCTCGTAAACAGGTTTTATCCTGATGGTCAGAATCAGGCTCATAATTACGCCGAAACCGCACACTGCAGCCAAAACCAGAAAGGTGAGCCTGAAACAATCAGGACCCAAGCAAGTCATGGTCGAGGTGAGCACATCAAATCCGTGCTGCTTAGCCGCCTCGTTGTCATATATGTAACCCGCTAAGAGGCCCGAGAAGAGGAACGCGCCAATGGGATTCCCCAGTGAGATGAAGTTGTACAACAAGCCAAAATGCTTCAGCCCAAAAAGCTCGGAGACGGTTGGGACCATGATAGAAAATTGAACACCGTAGCAGATTCCGAGTAGTGAAGTTGCCACATAAAGCGTTCCGTCAATAGCCGATGCGAAAAGAAGGTATGTGATGATCATGATTACTTGAGTCAGTGTCATCCAGATGGTACGAGGAATTATTTTTGACCTGCGAGGAATATTGGCTTAGATTCACTATGGTCAGTCATTTGGGATAATCCTATGAAGTTAGGAACAAGATACACATAGTATCAAGCCAAACCGTAAATGCAAAGGTGCCTAAGAAGTGCTTTCTGAAGGTAAATTTAAGTTAGGACAGCGAGGCATCCATGATATCACATATTGCCGAAAAAATTGAAAGCAGTAAAAGCTTCTTGGGACATATAAAGAAGTTAGCAAAGTAGATATAGATGTGACTCACTAACCTGACAAAATGTTCAGACAAGGCACCTCCACCGAGCCGACCCACGAAGTTGCCGAAGCTGAACAGAGACATGAGGATTGTTGTGTCGTGCGCACCTTGTGCAATCCCGATTTGCGCCATGTTATTAAGGACGGTTACCCCAGTACCAACTCCAACAAAATACACCAAGAACAGAAGCCAGAAATCCGCCTTGACAAGAGCTTCAAAGAAATTAAAGTCCTCTCCTCGTTTAGGCCTCCTCTTTTTCTTCACCGCCCCTTCGCCTTCTGCCAAAAGCATATTAATCTCAGACACATCATTGTTCTCATCGGGGGCTCCAAGGTACATTTCCGTCAAAGAATTCGTCAGAAGCGGTTCAGATTTATCTTCACATCCATCACAAACAATACCATCCGAAGGGTCATATTGGCTTTCCAGTATCACCGCCCTTCTGCTGCGATAAAATGTCATCTTTAGAGGGACAGCAAGAGGAGCCAGAAGGAGGAGAACCATTACGGCAATTGCTGAGTAAGATAATTTGGAAGTCAGAGGAAGGATGTCGTTCAATATTGTTGTTGTTAGAACGTATAAGCCGAGTGCAACGCTTGTTGCCTGTATAAACATGAAATGGCCGCGCTTTGAAGAGTCTTCGCTGGCGGCGGGAACACAAGGCCTGATGAAATACATAGTGATGAAGCACGAAACCGGGATTCCAAGTGAGAGGAACACGAGGAGTCTGGAAGAAGAATGGTGAAGCATGACGCCATAAATTTCAGTAAATACAGCCGCACTTAATCCGCAGTACCCTTTGAGAATCCCTGCGACTGTGCCTCGGTCGGCAGGAAAGTTCCTCATGTTAGTAACCAAAATGGCTGTGCCCAACCAGGCGCTGCCGTTGGTGGCGACACACAAAGCAATCCATAGCTGCAGCGAAAATTAAAATAAAAGGTGAAAGGATGTTAAAAATTGATGCAGGGAATAGCATTTCAAGCCAATCTTGCTCCACTGAAATGTTGTCCTACAGTTTTGAAAATGCATAGCCTAAAGGTAATTTAGAGAAGATTCTAAGCATGAGATAAGTCCGTTTGCCAAGTCTACACTATGTTTTGGGAAGTGAGCGCATGTTTGCATTGGGTGACAACCGTGGATCAGTAAGGAGGTGAAAACCACTTCGGCCAAAATGAAGGGAGCTTCCGGCAAGAAAACAGTGATCTGTAATTGCTTCATGTCATGAAGTCGATTTACGACATTTTCTGTGAGTGTGATCATCACAGTCCTTGTGGCCAGCAAGAGATTCCGATAATGTACCATTAGTCTACAGTCACTGAAAAAATAACATGTCTCAAACTAGAAGCACCAAAACTTTTACTTGTGCCTATATAGCCACAACGTTCTTAACCATTTCAATACAGAGGGAAGATTGAACTTCAAGGATGAGTTAACAGATGATAACGTGCACGACTATCATAACATATAGCATAATTCGGATAGACATTTCAGGTAACCACGAAAACATGGAATCAGACCTACATTATCGGATATTTTCCCTAATCTTTACATACATGTTTCTTTGGCATCATTAGCTGAGCTCCATCTTAGTCGGATGACGTTTCAAAGCTGTTAAATATGCAAGACATACAGATCAAAGACATAAAGGGAGAGACAATTTGGAGGACGAGTCAACAGGGAACTCCGTGTCATAGAACTGGGATCATTTAAAATTTGGAGACATTCTCTGGCTTAGTATCTGCTCCTTCAATGAATTTGCACCTTATCACGGTTACTTAGGAAGCAATGAATACCATCCTAGATCCTGAACAAGTCTAGTCCAATCTATTTCATTGGACTATTTTTATACCTATTGCAAGCGTCTACTTCTCTTACATTGGCCTGTTGAACAATTCCCAAGTTCCAGGCATTCGTGGCAAACAAGTGAAGCATTCAAGCTAGGAAGTTCATGTTGACTGTTTGTTGTAAATCGGTTTCATTGTATGGCCAACAACCAGCCCATGCTTGATAAAATATGTAATGGATTTCGTGAATGAGCAGGTACTTGCAGAAAACTAAGAAATTATCTTTCCTTTTCTTGAATACAATAAACAGACTTAACTCGAAAGTCTTCAACAATTTCTTCGGTCATCGACACCCTTCCTTAAAAGGACCTTCACCTAGAGAAACCTGGTTTAAGATTCGTGTGTTTGTGCGTGTTTTTTTTCCTTTTGTTCTTTTTTGTTGTTTGTTGATATTCTCATGTTTTCAGCTTTAGGAAGAAACTATCCTACCGGGTCCTTCTGTTTATGTTTCCTTGTTGCCGTTTTATCAGAATAAACCGAAATGTGGCCCTGAAATTTCTCTAGTTTGCAAAAAACCAGTAGATGGCACCCTCAACATGCACATAATATCAGTCAACCTTTCAATCTGATCCAAATATTCTCAGGTCTTGATATGGCAAAAAGCAAAACATAGAAGTTCATCAAAACAAAAACGTTACAAAACCAGTAAACTCAAGAAAACAAGTTTGTTTTTAGATGTAAAACTTAAAGTTACTCTCAATGCGGGCAATGAAACCGAGCTTTCTTAAACTAAAGACCACGTTACAAGCCCAGAAAGCTTAGAAAACAAGAAAAACTTCAGTACGATCAGATTCAAACAAAACAGAAAACTACCAGTCAAAACTCACCAACCAGTAAGGCAGAGACTGGACTGTCCGGCTCACGGCGAGCCAGAGCACGCCGTAGCCGGAAAAGCATGCTATAGCGCCGATCAGGAGGACGACCCAAGGAGGCAACCTGTTGCAGACAAACCCAGGGAGGAGTCCAAAGTTCTCGCCGACGTCGTTGGCCACACCAAGCAGGGTCAGCTGGTGCTGGTTGAACCCAAGAACAGACTTGAGCGAGTGCGAATACAGAGGGAAGGTGTAGGAGTTGCCTGATGCTATCTGAACCCATACCGCAGCTCCTAAGCCCACCCATGGTGGTCTTGTTCCAGCCTTTAGGCTCGCCATTGCTCTACGGGTGTGTCTGAAACTCAGCTCAAGAATGACCCATCTTGTGGCTGTGCTTATATGAGGGCTACGTGATATGATGTTTGTGAGTTTTTCGTGTGCATACTTGTATTGGGTCCAGAGAGAGAGAGAGAGAGAGAGAGAGAGAGAGAGGGGTCAGAGGAAGGAAATTTCACGTTTGTCTCTGAGTTGAATCATGGGCAAAGGGTGATTTGGCATCTGGGGCACCAACCACGGGAGGAGGACAGATTTTGGAAGTTTCTTGCATGTCCGGTAAAGTGGCATTGGGTACGTAACTGGGGCCTGAAAAAGAGCTAAAGTAAATGGTGGGGGCCAGAGTTTTGATTAGTATTAGATCCCAAGCTTGGTTGAATTATGTGAGAACAAAATTGGGTTTTTAGATTTTTGCTAGGGGAATTTATTGCTTCTGTTGAGAAGTTATTGTCCTTCTTAAATAAATTGGCTATTAAGGATGCAATTTGGGAGTTTTTTCATGCTTGTCTCCTGGTGATCTTGTTGTCTTTAACCACAGTAGGAAAAGGAGGGGGTTGAGATCTGATAATTCAGCTCAGATACTGCAATTAGTAACTGATATATAGACATTATATTTTTGGTTTTGTTATGAAATTGAGGGTCTAGTCTCTTGGAGCACCGGTATAATCCCACCAGTCACTTTCAATCCACCGCCCAACTAATCTTAGAGGCGCGGTTGTCTTTGTTGAGACTTGAACTTATGATTGTCTGAACTCTCTAAAAGGTTGCCTCAGGGAAATTTCCTTTGGCATGAATGGAATCCCATGTTCTGCTTCTTGAGATGCAATTTAATATTGAGAGTCAGCTAATAGCCATCTATCATGTTGCATCCAAAATTATATTATAGTGCATATGGATACCCATAATTAAGCACAAACGTTGTCTTAATTTTAGATCTTGATACATTGGTCAAGGAGTGCTGGGATGTGATGGATGTGATCTTGATTTTAAATCACAATTTACATACCTCAGCAAGCAAAGAAAGAGAAGATTTTTTTTCTTATACATTTGGAGTACCATGAAATGGCGGGAAAATTTCAAATAAAGGCTTGAAGTTGAGTCGTTTTCTTAAAAAAAACAGGACTTAAAATGAAGCTTGTCTTAAATAAGGTCATGAAATGGCCAACTAAGTTTCAAATAAGGGCTTAAAGCGAGGTGGTTTTCTCAAAAGAGGGACAAGAGTCGGCCATGTCTCAAATAAGGTCTGAAAGGGCTAAGTTAGTCTCAAATAAAGGCATGAAGTTTGGTTGTTTCTCAAAAAAGGATCGAGAATAGATATTGTCTCAATTAAAGACCTAATATGGCCAACTTAGTCTCAAATAAGGGTTTGAACTCACCGGCCAGCTTGCACGTGTGACTCCCATGCTCATTCCGATGCAGATTATTATACAAATTATCCTTGACTTTTGGCCCAATGTGCAATGTCGTCCTTGAACTTTTAATTTGTTTAATTGGTTCATGAACTTTTGGTAAATGTTCAATATAGTCCCTAGACTATCTGAAAATATCCAATATTATTCTTCTATTAATTCAAGTAATTTTGGAATTTGCTGATTTAGCATCCAGTATGGTAAGTTTGAAAGGTGGAAAAAAAAAATAACGTTACACGTGGATTATCTACATAAGATATCTTACATAGATAATTCGCGTGTAATATTTTTTTTTGTCCACCGTTCAAAGTTACCGGATTGGAAGCCAAATCAGCAAATTTTGTTAATTTGAATTACTGGAAGGACGATATTGAACATTTTCGTATATTCTACGGACTAAATTGAACATGTTCCAAAAGTTTTAGGGACCATATTGAACGAATTAAAAATTCAAGGATGACGTTGGGCATTGAGTTAAAACTCAGGGTTCACATTAAACAAATTAAAGTTCAAGGACGACATAGCACATTGGACCAAAGTTCAAGAACCATTTGTGTCATTTTTCCTATTTCGATGACAACATTAGAGAGCCAACAACGACAGACACGGTCGAAATGGAGAAGATACATTAGTGATATTAGGAGAAAATTTGCTCTCAAAAGAACCCTAGCTTCAATTTGGGACTTTTTAAAAATGGGTCAAAGCTGAAAATCTCTTGCCCTCGTTTTACCATTGGAATAAGCACATAAGTCGCACGTGTAAATTGGCAGACGCAAATTTGGTCACCAATGAGTTCAGTCCTTATATGAGATTAAGATGGTCATTTTCGGCTCTTATTTCAAATAAGGTCCACTGTGGTTTCTCTTTTGAGAAAATGCTCCACTTAGACCTTTATTTGAGACTAATTTGGTAACTTTAGGCCTTTATTCGAAATTAAACTGATCATTTTAGGTCCTTATTTGATATTAGATCCACTTTGAAATCCCTTTTGAAAAGACGGCTGCACTTCAAATCATTATTTTAACTATAATTGAAATGCTTTTTCTCTCACCTCTCCCTCTCATCTTCACACGGCTTTCTTCTTCAACCTCTATGGAGAAGGATTGAGTGCTCATTACTAAAGACGGATTCAATGGTTGGCTACCGATTTGGATTTGAAGAAGTCACAGATCTGCTTTTTGAGCGTATAATCCCTAACATTGTTTTGACAATTCATCTTATTATCTGGAGCTTGTTTTATTATAAAGTTATTAGGGATTTGTCTTTATGTTGTTTCTCTCTTGTATTTATTTGGAAATGAATGAAATGTTATTTTGACATAAAAAATTCTTATTTATAATTTTCCCAAAAAGACACGAATGTACCCATGAAAATTAGCTAATCTTGACCGTTGGTGAAGGGACCTTATTTCCATACCTTATTGTAATCTACCATCACCACTTAAAGAATTGCTCGAATTCATATCACATATGGTGGTGTGTGATTGTTAAAGAAGGAAATAGAGAACATATGCCATATATTAAAGGGGAAACTTTAGTAAAATCAAGGGCAAAATTCACCAAAAACCGCAAACTATATCTGCCGTAACATATTTACTCTAAACTTTTTTCTGTGATACAAAAAATGAAAACTTGTAACTGTATGTAAGGGTGTGCAATGAGAACCACACGAATTGAGAACTGCCCGGATTGGACCGAGCTGGCCGATTTTAAGTGGTTCCCAAGGGTGCCGATTTGGCTCTTGTTTCCATAAAACTGGAACTAGTGACGGGCAGTCCGGTTCTAGGGTGGGAACTGGACTTACTAGACCGCCTAGATCGGACCAATTAAGCATACGTGATTATAGAGCAAAACCAACTAGAAGTTATTACTAGGCCAACACAAATTATGTGCTATCTCGCCCATCAGACTATCATCAATTGGCCTTTAATATGCTAGAAAATTATGCATAATGTCAGTGAGAGTCTAGAGCAAAAACTAAAATGATTAACTTTTTTCACCGGATATTGTACTGAAACAGACAAACAAGACTAATCATGTCACTAAGCTCAACATCGATTATCACCAGCTTTCCTCAGAAGATTTACAGGTGGATATATGAATAATATGGTGGGTTATGGATGGTTATCCTATGAGGATGATTGACTAGGACGGATGAATAATTATGTATTAGTGTAGCTCTAACCTATAAAAAGAAGCATAGTAAGTGGCCAACTATGTCTATCTTTTTGATACATCCTCGGCTCATGTCTCCAAAGTCACGACACCACGTTTTTTCAAGTCCTAAAACTTGTCACGGTTGCTTATTTTAGTCATTCCTTTATCATTTTTAGATTTTAGTGGACTGAATAATTTCATTACCGCCACGCAAGCTTAAAAAGATAATAAGAAACTCACGTGTCATTTTCTGTCAACTTAAAAATTTACAGAGTCGTGAGTTGTTATGACATAAATTGGGATATGTGTATTGAAAGTCCTAAAATTTATCGCAAGAGTGCAATTAACCCCTAAAACTTTTAAAAAGTGCAATTAAGTCCTAAAACTTGTCACAAAAGTGCAATTGAGTCCTAAAACTTTCAAAAAGTGCAATCATGTTCTAAAAGTTATCAAATTAGTCCAATCAAATTCTTCCATTGATTACAATTTTTGAAAGTTTTACAACTCAATTGCATTTTCGTGACAAGTTTTTAGGACTTGATAGGACTTTTTTAAAGTTTTAGAACTCGATTTCACTATACCTAACAAGTTTTAGGATTTGATTGCACTTTTGAAAATTTTAAGACTCGATTTTACTTTCGTAAATAGTTTTAAAACTTAATTACACTTTTTTAAATTTGAAGAGTCAATTGCACTTTCGTAACAGATTTTGGGATTTTCAGTGCAGGTATGCCTAAATTAATACAAGAGAAGGTTTCAGAAAATGCCCGGTGAATATCCCATAAAGGATCGAACCCAAGTTGGATAAATGAAAACATGAGGCCACGATGATCGGTGCACCGCTTTAACGGCAAACGGACAGGACACAGGACAACGTTTTACTCGCGTCGTCCACCACACATGACCACTCTCCGACATGCTTATCATGGCCGCTGCAGTGAAACCCCTGCTCCCGCTTCCTCGTTCCCCTGTTCGGATTCCTCCCTCTTCCCCTCCATGGATTTCCTCGAGACCCACCTCGAGTTCTTCCCCACTTTTGCCCACTTCGCGCTGGAGCGAGCAGCGACCCGACGTCTCGGCTTCGGTGGCCTTCGACCCCTCGGGGAACTTCGATCTTTCCCTTTACGACGACGAAGTAGGTAAGATCTTCAGTTGGCATGTTGTTAAGTGTTCGACGTATGTCCTAATCGAGTCCGTTTTTAGTTTGTTTGTTTGCATCGACATTGGATTAGTTATGTCAAGATATTTTCATGTAGATGTACTGTTATCCTGGAGTTAAACTTGTGAGGCAAATTGGCTCTTTTGTCGGGTAGTGATTCCGGCGTAGTTCCTGATCGTTCGGCTCAAGCTGCTGAATTTCCTACTACATGTTGACTCCAGTCCACTCCCCTGATTTTTTTAGCTTGGCCTACCCATGAAGGAGTGTGTAATGGAGAAACGTGCATGATGTAATTTTTGTGGCTTGTGCTTTCGATTAGATCGTTCCTGACAATTGGGATGGTCTATATGTATGCATTCAAAGTGGCAGAGCAGTTATCCAATGTTCTGTGGAAATTTGTTTCTCTGTACATGCTAAAATTTGATTGAGGACCTAAAGCCTGGATGCTTCCAGCGATGTATTTGAACATTTGATTTTTTTGGTTCTTCAGGGAAAATGGGTTAAACTTAGTCTGTGCTTAGCATAGCATCATCAATGATCTAGTCGATTACTTGAGGTTATAACCTTCTGGACTTTTTCAAACTTAATGGGGTCATGTTCTTCCCAATATGTAATCAATCTGATGGATTTTTCGTTCTCACCGTCTAACCTTCAATATTAGCCCGATGTCTCAAGGTAGAACATAGGCATGGAGAGAGAGAGAGAGAGAGAGAGAGAGAGATTTATTTGGGCACAAGGTAAACATTAATACACTCTGATTGGCAGATTCATCAAAAGTTGCTCCACCAGTCCCCCCAACCGAGGGCCGTTTTGAAGTAGTGATAGATAATGATGCCATTCGTCGCCTTGACTTATCACCATTTCAAGTGGCCACTGGAATCACATCTCCCTTGTCCGGTAAGCATTAGAGAGATATACTGAACTTCCATTATTCATATATATGGTACGAATTTTATGCGGATTTCGTTCCTCTTTGCTCAGCTGAGTCAAAGGAGTATCTAGAACGTACAATTGGGTTTACTATCAATTACACGAGGGAGGATCCTGGAGATCCTCGAGAACTATCAGAATTTCCAGATATAAGACTCTGGTTTGTGAGACTCGATGCCACTTATCCGTGGCTTCCTGTCTTGTTGGACTGGCGAGCAGGAGAGCTTGCCCGTTATGCAGCTATGTTGGTTCCTCACCAGGTAATTAACTCGGTGTCTGCAGATGACTAATTGTCTATGCATATACTGAATAAAACTTTGAGCGAGAGATGTATTCCATTAAAAACTGCTTAAAATTTTTATTATATGTTGGCAGATGAATATGAGAATGGGAGTTGTCTTCAATCCTGAGGCACTAGAATTATTCATCATGAACAAAGTGATGGTGGTATACACTTGGTTGAAGAAACATGATGTCCCTAAGCCAAGGCTTAAAACAAGTGACATGGCTAGGATGCTTGGGTTTGGCATTGGAAACGAATTGTTCGACTTAATAGATCAACATCCGCTGGATCCATCATGAAGTAGGTAGCTCGAAGCTGTTATGATTTTGCAGCACTACTTTAGTCCGATATAGAGCATCTTGTCATGGTTTTCAACTTTGTAAAGATGCTATCTCAAAGACGAACTTTCACCATCAACACGAGAATGAAATTTTGCAATTGTCTTAACCAATCGGGATATCCCCAGCTTGGATGCTCGTGAAAATATGGTTCTCAAACTTTAGGACTTTTCCCTTGAAACTGAGCCAGGTTCTACGCAGTGCTTCAAACTTCAAAGAACTAAAGTTTTGTTTACTGTAGCATACCTCTTGGAATTTCTCTCAAGCTTCTAGCTTGAAATCTTCCCTTTAGGCTTAAAGTTCTCATTTGATAAAAATTGATAAGATTTATTTTCTTTTTCTGCTAATTTGACTTATAACTCCTAACCTGCACATGCTGATCAAATATAAGTGGAAAAGTAGAAAATGATGCATGCATGTTTAAGCCTCACTTCTTGACATTAAGGCAATGTCATTTGCGATGAACTAATCTGCATTTTCATGGAAGTTTTCCATGTTTCTGGATATGCAGAAAGAAGGGGCAGATTGTATTTTAATTAGGTTGTGTTATAGGATCGTGCAGAAAAGCCGTAGCCCCAATTTTAGTCCTTTCTTGACCTAGTTGTTTCTGTTGGGTTTTTGAGATGCTGTATTTGGTTGGCACATTTACATTAATCTGCATTTTCATGGAGTTTTCCATGTTCTGGATATGCAGAAAGAAGGGGCAGATTGCATTTTAATTAGGTTGTGTTATAGCCATACCTTTTGTATTCATACCATCGTGCAGAAAAGCCGGAGCCCCAATTTTAGTCCTTTCTTGACCTAGTTGTTACTGTTGGGTTTTTGAGATGCTGTATTTGGTTGGCACATTTACATTACATTGGCCAAAACTGTCCTGGCAGAGTATATGAAAATCAGATCTCGGGGGTCATAGTTCCTGGATCTGTGATAAGTCGCCGATTTTTCTTCTAATTGTATTATGTTTTTCTTACAAACATCAACATTTATAGAAAGTTATCAAATGGATGATTAAAACGCTGTTCTATTGCTTTTGAGATTGCGGATTTCACTACAAATTCTTTCCTGTGTTTGTCCACGAAATTTCTCCAATTGGATCCCATTTTTCGCAATTGGAATAAACATGCATATTTTTCGCCCCTTCTTATCTAGTCATCGACATGTTGGTATTTTTGGTATCATTTATTCATGGTAAGTACATCTTTGTGATTACAGTATTGGTGAGAAATAAGTTTCTCTGCAATTGGGTATAGTTTGTCGGGGGAATGCAGTATATATAGTGAAACATACAAAGTACAAACGCCAGTTATTTATTATGAGCTTGTCCAGAATCATACCAGTCTTACGTCTGTCATGTTAGATTTGAATTTCTCTTTGCCGAAGTTGCTTTTATTGACTTTCCTAATTTCTCATTGTTGGGAAGGAGAAAAAAAACAGGCAATACTCCAGATTTCATTTTTATTGTCTCCCACTGAAACTTTGAAAATCTTGAAAACCGGTAGGTTTCCATTTTTAAAAGAATTCCTGCCAAGATAATGGATCCTGCTGTAGGTGCCTCTACGCGAGCTTCAGGTAACCAAATATGAACCGGTACCATAGGCACTTTGACAGCAAAAGAGGCAAAAGAAGCAATTCATAGAGAGATTTGGCGCTGGTCACTGAATTCTGTGGTTAATGATTTTTGTAAATCGGTGGTTCTTGTTTGGAGAAAAATCAACAGAATATCTAATAGCATAAATACATATCCAAGTAAAGTATAAAGGAAATACTAATATGCTGCCGAGATCTTCTTTTGTCTCAAACCCCATACCCATATAACGATGGTAGAGTAAGAAGTGGCCCCAAAGCAGAATTGACCGGCGATTGGTCGATGCTCCAATTGGTAGCCACTCCCTTCTCGGAGAATCACACATTAGACTTCTGCATCATATGCATCCATCTTGAGCGTCTGTTGTCAGCCCTCATAATTTGAATGATGAACTCTTGTATTAACCAAACTGATCGAGTATTAGGCTAAGAAATATGTTGATGCTGTATTTCAATCTGCGGGGAAACTAATCATACCCGGAGCTTATATTTTCGTTAAAACAGGATTAATTAAACTGATTCGACAGACTTTACTTTCCTTCTGCTTCTAATTCTAAAATTTTCAGTATTGTCATATCGCACACGATGAAGTTGGTAAACAATAAACATCAAGTCTCCGAATCAAGTGTTTTATCCTCCTATATAACTTGCCGTGCGGAACCGGGGTTTTCTGATGCAGCTGCATATATATACTTTTGAGGCAAGCCATGGCCGGCAACCTTCCATCTTGTCTCTGTTTGGCGTGTTGTTGAAGAGCACCGTCAAACTAATTCAAATGGCCGGTTATTGCCACACTGCGGTCGGCGACTTTTTGTGGCGACTTTTTGTGCCAGTTTGCTCGACAGAACTTGAACCTACAAAATGCCATCCAAATGTCAAGGGTTTTGGCGGGCTCAGCCCCATGTGATGGTGTAGCAAGGAAACATGTGAGGTCTTATCACACGATTTGAATGAGGAAGCATAGAAAGAAATATGGAAAGGATGTGGGACGGGGGCCTGTTTTTGTCTCAGCTTTCGGAATGCACCCGAGATCTGACGGATTGGTTAAATGACTAGCAAGAAAAATTACTCTGGTGAACCTAGTATTTGTATTAGACTATAACTAGATGGTCAAATTTGAGGGGGACAACACATGAGATCCGCCATTTTCAATGACTTTGATTCAGTTTAATACATATATTATGCTTGTGTAATAACTTCTCGACTAGTAAATATCGATATGTTCTTCAGCAAATAATGGGTTTCGATTGAAATCTGGCCCCATGTTGATCTACCTATGCACCGGAAAGTATCTACGATCCTAATCAAGAAAACCCTCACTCTCCACTCCTTTGTTCAGTGTTCCTCGCCATCGTCACTCTACCCCGTCATGGTCGCCTTTGTCTCCTCCTAATCAGCCCTACACCACTGCCTCTCTCTCTCTCTCTCTCTCTCTCTACCCCAGTGAGAAGGTTTACATTGCAGGTGATGGTAGCAACAATGACTTCAGATATTCATCTTCTTGGAGAGCTCATGAGGACTACCTAACTTCTGATCATGTTCTTTAAGTATTAAAATCTACCACCAAAAAAGATGACGAAGCGGGTGAGGCTTGGCGAGATGATAGACGCGGACTTCTCAAGTCACCGCAGCCAGAAATTGAGTTGTCCTGGGACCTACGAACCTGAGATTTATGAATTTTTTGGGTGCCACCAGTTCGGTGGAAAGTAAAAGAAGCTGCATGAAAATCGTGGAGGTGGAGAATGTGGTGCACTTTGCATTAGCCCCACAATCAAAACCCGGAAGACAAGAAAACATATATTTTCAAATGACAGCGTGGTCATATGGTTCCTGTCTTCTGTTTGCTTCTGGTGAAACAGATGGATTCCTACTCCTCCAGGTTGACCAAGACCATGACCCACAGCTTCATTATTCATCTCTCTCTCTCTCTCTCTCTCTCTCTCTCTCTCACACACACACACACACACACAAAGCATGTTACTTTGCTTTGGTGTTTCATGCTAGATTATTAGTTATGTTCAACCAGCTGGTGAGATGATGATTATCAGTTGATGAATGGTACGTCTTAAACATTCCCCACAATATGATGGTTGCACTGCGAAATTTCATTAGTTAGGGTAGGCTTAAAGTGGGTTTCATGATAATTGATAACAGTCAAGAGATAGGGACTTCGATTAATCTTACTTTTTCTGTCCATGTATAGAGATTTTTTTCTTCTTCGTATGTTACAACTTTCATCGCTAACTTCTTGAACTCATAATCCTTTTTGAGCTTTTCGTGGGCCGCCACCCTTTTGGGAAGAAAAGAAACCATAAACCGGTTCAACACTACAGGAGATGGGGTGCAAAGGGATTATCGGATCCAGAGCGTGGATCCGGACCCGATGCGTATACTGGCCGGAGCCGCCGGATCACCCAAAGTATTATTTGATGTGTCTTGAAGCTATTTTCTTTTTTTTTCTAGGGTTCTGAATTCGACAGCTAATGTCCATGCTTATTATTTTACACTACGGAAGTAATTGTAAGATTGTGTTGAACATTTAGAAAGAAAGAGTTTTGGAGGTTCAATTTTGTGTAATCTCTATTGTATTAGTAACTTCCTATGATCTCTCCTCATGAATGTAGGTTATCTCGAGCGAACTACGTAACCATACATCTCTACTCTTCCTTACCAATCTAACATTAATTGTTTTATTTGTATGCTACATAGTTCACAAAACTTGAAGCTTTCTTCTTCCTACCAAGGTTCGTGTCGGTCGGTATTAAGATATAAAATACATGTAAAACTATCTATACAACCAAGTACAATGTAAGTATGAATATTTAGTGTTGCAGAACAAAATGTAACGAGCCCATGATATTGAGATATGCATGAAGATCATCAGTACTGGAGGTCATTCAATTAACCCAGTAATCACTTATAAAATTATCGAGGACAACTGGTGTTAGTCGCATGTTAATGTTCGACAATCTCTTCGACAAGAACCACGGTCATTCAGAGACGTCGGTCTGTATCGACTCACGAAACGCAATATTTAATTGTCCGAGTTTTGCGTGTCTTCTCCTATGTTTTTACCTAATCTCAGACTTATTATCGCACGAAATTTCCCAAGCTTTGCATCAATATGACCGAAAGCATTTAACTTCATGTGCTTGGCATGTATCAGAAACTGCAGAGTCATTTTCCTAATGCATGGGGCCAGCGTTACTTAATCATGTCCTCACTGTTCGGAACATTCAAAGGAGAATAAATTGAATGTATTCGGACTTTGAAATTTCAGTCTACCATCACTTTTTATGTCTTATTGCACCATTAATGTGCTTTTTAATAAGCACAAACGGCAACGAAACAGAAAAATAAAATCAATTGGCCATAAAT